TCAAAATCATTACTGACAGTGTCTATATTGTAGTTACTAATTTGTGGCTCCATTCATCAAAGAATATTTTAACTTTTCCAATATTATAACATTTTGTGTAATTTTGTGAGTCCCAGTATTAACTGACCATCAGGCTGTTTTGGAGCTGTTAGTGAGAACTGGCTTGGCTATTGGTATAGTACATTCTGCTGTGAAAAGAGCGCTCCGCATTGGAACAGGTTGGCTGCATTTGGGTACATCTGCCTGCAGAAAAAAAATATTTTTAGTTGGATATGGTCAATGAAATAATTAGCTGTTTCATCTCTAATGTTTTTGTACACAAGAAGCAAAATATAAACACACACATAGAGTATTTAGTTTGACACACAACTTTTACATATAACTCATTTAGCCATATAAGTGATTAATAGGATAATGTTTCTCAGATTCTAATTTTGAAAAAAAAAAGTCAGAAAATCATTTAATTTTAGCACCGCAGCACTTTTAGTTTCTCGTGCCATGCAAGGTCTTCCAAATTTTGTACTTTGTACTTAGACACCCTAGGGTTCTAACAGTTTCACTGAATTTAACAGCCTTAGTTTTCATCCTTTTAACTTTCATAGAAGTATTGTGGATTACTAGTTTATATTTCTTTTATATATTTCTACCAGCTGAGTGCCTGATTTCTTTAAGATTGTATTCACATAAGAGGATTTTTGGAATGTCTGGCTGGCAAAGTGATGACTGCTTTAATCCTCCAGATTACCTTTACACAGATTACAGCTGCCTGGCATTAACTGAAATGTAGCAGTGGCACAAGACATTTCTTTGGTTCCTTTTTATTTTGGGCTCTGGTTACAGTAATCTTATTCCATTCAAGGTTTTTTCTATAAGTTTGATTGCTTTGCTATGCTATGTTTTGGTCTGTGTTTTCATTGTTATTTAAATATTTTTTATCTCCTGTGCAACCCTGGGGATATCTTATTCTGTTGTTTTAGAAGCAAATTATATGAAGTGAAAGTGGTAGCTGACAAAAAGAAAAACCTTCTTACAAGGAGTATGTTACTTTTTGTGTCACAGATACTTTGATATAGAAAGCAATCATGTATATCATTTTACTTCTACATTTGCAACACAGAACTGTTTTTCTTACCTTTTAAGGTGAAGAATGTGACATCAATGTAAATGACTGTGAAAGTAACCCCTGTCACCATGGGGGACTGTGCCTAGACCAACCTAATGGATATAGCTGCCATTGTCCACGTGGATGGGTTGGTGCAAACTGTGAAATACGTAAGTGTATTTATTACTACTGATAGTAAATTATGCTAAAATTGTACCATAGAAGTATTGTTTTTTATGCAACATATTTATTTTGATATTTAATCAACTAGAGCTAGCAAGTGTTTGTAGATGTTATAACAAGAAACTCGGCACAATATGCCTTCCATAATGCTACTTCTACTTCTATACAGACTTCTTGTCTGAACTTAGCTGAAATTCCTGAAGACTTGGAAAGGACTTTCCTACAAAATTACAGTCTCAGACATTTAATGCAGTTTTTTAAATAACAGCAAGTAGCAAATACTTCCAAGAAAGCATGCATGAAGCATGACAATGTTGAAATCCTCTGTTTAATGTAATCTACATTAAGCTTCCAGGAACTACTGCTAGAAGTATCCTGGGAATGCATATTTTATTCTCTGCCCAGTTCATTTAATAGCTTTGATTGGCCTTATATTCTGTGTATATGGAAAAACTGTAAAGTATTATCCTTTTACAGTTGTGCTAGACTCTATGGATTGTTTTTTAATTTATTTTTATATCATAGGATATTTTAAATGGGGGTTATATACTTTATAGGTAGTTTGTGATTTCAACTTAAATCAGTTCATCAATTAACCAATTAAAGCAAAATTGTTCTGTAAATTGCTTAGAAAGACATTTTGATGTGTGTTGAAAAACACTCACTGCTGCTGCTGTTTAAAAGTACCACATACCTTTTACGAGCTGAGATTAAGAATGCTTAAACTAAAATCCAGAATCTTTTCCAGTTTTTTGCCTATGATTTGTAAAAAGAAGCTATTCCACATGTAATTTTCATCACACAATTGGGGCAACATCTTTTCCACATAACTTCCTATTACTACTAGATGTGAACTTTTTGTCTGAAGTACTAGTTCTAACTTTATTGTAAGGTTACATTAACAGAATCATGCAAGTCTGAAAGTACATCTTTTCCCCCATTCCCTTTACAGCCCAAGAAACGAGTAAGGGTCTCTTCTGAGACGTTTGCCACATCTGGATGCCTTTGGCAGGCTCAGCTGCTGCTTGTCTGTTGTCTAGTCTGCAGCTCTTCCACCTGTCTCCCAAGATCATTTCCTCATACTATTACACTTTTTTATGTCAGTGGTACTTGTTTTTCATGATGCATAATGTTTACTCTACTGAACAGATAGAAGTCATTTTAGATGTAGTACAAGCCATTCTTTTAAGTTCAGTGGGATAAAGGTATACAGGTTAGAATGCATTATTTATTTATTTCGTAAATTTATATGGCCGCCCTTCTCATATATATGACTCTTTTGTAATTTATTTATTTATTCAAAGCATTTATACAGCTGCCCTTCTTAAAACAACTCTGGGTGGTTTTCAACCAATAAAACAGTATAAAACAATACAAAACAGTATAAAACCAGCAGCAATAAAAATAAAAACAGAAAACCCTGCCTCTACAACCACACTTCTCTGTTGCATTCTCATCCCACTCTGGCCTTGCTGTATCCCAACGCCTGGAGAAAGAGCCAGGTTTCAAGTATTCTCTGGAAGGATAAAAGAGTAAGGGCTTTTGGGGGACTGCAGTGGCCATATTTACCACCTGGCATTAATTGCGGCCTAAATTATTTTAGGATTTGTTTTAATTTGTATAGGAATCATTCCAAAAATAATTAATTTTGTTAAACTGTAGCAAAGGACCAAATACCTACATGAAATTAAAATCTGCTTGGAAGAAAAAATATGAATCTTTACAATAGCCATATCTACAAGTTCAGATTTATGTGTAGCTGTAGGCCATACCATAAGAATTAGAGACAGTCCCCGGGTTAAGAATGTCCAACTTACAGACAACTCATATTTACAAATGGGCTGCCTATTACTAAAAATGGTGGATGGTGTTCTCCTTCCTTGAGCTGGCAAACCACCGAAGCCGCGCAATATTTTCATGAACTGCTGAAGTCACACATTTTTAATATACAGCCTGTTTTCAGTGATTTTCAGCAGTTTGTAAAAACATCATGCAGCCTCAGCAGCTTAAGGAAGGAGAATGTCATCTGCCATTTTTAGTAATAGACATCCCATTCATAAGTACGAATTTGACTTACATGCAAATTCAAGTTAAAGACAGACTTAGGAACAGAACTCATTCTTAACCCAGGCACTGCGTGTATAAAGAACAAGCAATCAGGTTTATCATCATTGGGTTAAATTTAAAAAATCCCTTATTTTACCATTGATTGGCATGACCTTCAAATAGGCCATAACTTTAAGACAGTCATAGCAAAAGAAGCCACACATTCTGGCCTGCATGATCTTTCTGCCATACTCTTTTCCTTGGTTAAGAACACTACATGGGTAGGTTTTCTATTAACTCTAGTTCACTGGTCAGGTATTTTTCATTAATTATTGCTAGGAAGCCAGTCCTTGCATTAAAAGCTCCATAGATCATGTATGATGCATTTGGAAGCTCTCTCATGCATGTCTCCATTACAACACTGTTTTCTAACATTTTGGAGTGATGTCTAGTTTTAAAGAGGAGGAGGAATATATAGGTTAATGTAAATTAAGAGAGATAAGAATTGTGTTGCTGGCTAGGGATGCTATAATGAATATCTGCATGTCCAGATCAACTGAATGCAAATAGCTCACCTTTTCCCAATTTATTCCACTGATAAATAGAACAAATGAATTAAGTCCTAGACATACAATACCTCATCCTGAGTCCATGTTTACTGCAGGGGGATGGTATAAAAAGCTTGCAGGAAGCAACTCTCTCATAAAACTTATTCTTTCAACTTGCTACATTCTAAGAAATGACATGCAGTAGTCATTCATCCTCTGCATCCTCAGTGCTGTGACTCTACAGCATTGTTTATTTCTGAGTATGTTTGAACCAAAGAATAAACCAACATTCTGCATAAGGTTTTCCTAGCTCATCCAGATCTAACAGGTAAAAGGCCATTCGTTCATCCTTAGTGTAGTTTGTATGGGAAAGCTCAGTAGAATTATATTAGTAGCTGTGTGGAATTTATATCAGGTTTTGTTAGCATCTGGGGCTTAGTTAAGATTTTATTAATTTCTAATGTGTGTTTTGTTATGAGCCTGGAAGCTATCCAAGTGTGCACGACAGTTTATTTCAGTGATAGACAATAGGCTGACTGACAGCTAGATTTAATATCCTGAGACATAAAATAATCCTTGAAAAATGTATTCCATGCAGTGCTTCAGTATTGTAATGACAATATTATGCAAGTTAATGCTTTGTAAGAAAGGAACCATATGCCTTTATTGTCTACTGAAGCTGATCTATGATAGCAAATATTTCGGAATCTTAGTTTGAATCCAATATCTATCTGTCTGTCTGTCTGTCTGTCTGTCTGTCTGTCTGTCTGTCTGTCTGTCTATCTATCTATCTATCTATCTATCTATCTATCTATCTATCTATCTATCTATCATCACATTTATATACCCATCACAAGTTTAATGTAGATTACAAATAACAGTGAGATGTAGCCCAAAAGGGAACGTTTCCACCTTACCTATCAGATTCATTCCTGGCAGATAAGAAAGAACAAGAAATACAAATAGCAGTTGTAACTGGAAAGTAGCCTGGATGGATACCAAACCCTAGTAATAATTGTCTTGGGCCACAGGTCAGTTTCAGACTTGTGTGGGGAATGCCACATCCAAAACTGGGTGGGGTCAAAAGAAAAAAGCCAAGGTATAAATTAATGTTTAGTGTTAACTTTCTGAATAAATAAAATAAGTACTCTGTCTCCTGCAGTGCCCAGCCAAATGCTTCCAAATGGGCTGGCTAAAGGACATGAAAATCTTAATGGAGTGAACAGTATAAACTTATGCGTGCTATTTTTGCAAGCATTATGTATGTATATGTTTGTATATGAATACATTTGCAATAATTGATTAATGCATAAACCAGTATTCATATGTTTCTAACACAGAAGCTTAGCTGTTACTGAGGATCTTAGACCAAAACAGTTATTTCAAAAAAAGAAGTTAAAATAGAAAACCTTGATAAGGGGGGAAAAAATAGAAGCATAGAGTTGGAAAGAATTACTTAGACTATCAAGTCTAAACCTCTGTTCAGTATAGGATTCCACATTAAAGCCTCCCTAACAGATGGTTGTGCAGCCTCTCCTTGAAGACATCAGTAAAGGGACCTTACCACCTTCTGGTAAGTGGCTCCACTATAAAAGTGGAACTACTTTTATAGATGGGAAGTTTTTTGCTAACATTCAGCCAGAATCTCTCTTCTTTTAACTTAAAACCATTATTCCATGTCCTGCATTCTTGTACTGTATAATAGAGAAGGGGGCTTGACCTCCATCTGCACGACACTTCAAGAATTCAAAAAGTGCAATCATATGCTCCATTGCCCATCTGTGTACTTACTCCCATTGAGTTGAAACATTATTACAATGTGTTGTCCAGACTTGGACATGGTACTCAAAATTGGGTCTTGCCTGTGCTGAATATGGTGAAACTATTATTATCTATTATTTGAAATCTATATTGATGCAGCCAAAAATTGCATTTGCATTTTTAGCCGCCATTCCACATTGCTGACTCATGTTCAACTTACGATCAAATAGTGTTTTTTATTAAAGACTGAGGAAAATAAGAAATGTGGAGAGAGGCAAGGGAGAACATCTAGCTACAAATAACCAAAAGGAAGTCTTTTCTAGAGGAACTAAAGATGCAAGCCAATATGAGATGGATGCTAATCAAAATAGAAAATACAATGTGTGCAGCCTCTCAGATTTGAGAGATGGAATCTAGCCAAGGAAGGAATGAACAGAGCAATAGTTTTGTACATTGGATGGCTCCTGAACCTTGGTAAGACGGAATGGCTGTGGGTTTGGGGCTCTTACATATCTGGGGGCTTACCATCTTTGGTTCTGGATGGAGTTGCACTACCCCAGATGGACCTGGTATGTAATCTGGGGGTACTCCTGGATTCACAACTCCTGCTCGAGGTGCAGGTGGCAGTCATGGCTAGTCGGGCCTTTGCTCAACTCTGTGTTGTGTGCCAGTTGCACCCTTTCCAGGATTGGGAAGCCCTTCTCTCAGTCACTCATGCCTCGGTCTATTATGGACTATTGCAACACGCTATACATGGGGCTACCCTTGAAAAGTATCCAGAAGCTGCAACTGGTGCAGAATGTGGCATTGCAGGCAGTTATGGGCACTTCTAGAGCTGTGCAAGTAACACCTCTGCTACGTGAGCTGCATTGGGTGCCAGTTTGCTTATGGGTCCAATTCAAGGTGTTGGTTAAGACCTTTAAAGCCCTTCATGGCGTGGACCCAGGTTACCTGAGGAACTGTCTCATCCCAGTTACACTGACCCATCCCACCCAGTCTGGCAGGAAGGGCATGTTATGGACCCCGTTAGCTAGAGAATTTCAACTGGAGGAGTCTAGGAGGAGAGCCTTTCTGCCGTTGCCCCTGCCCTGTAGAACATCTTGCCCCCTCAGATGAGATTGGCCCCTGCTCTTCTGGTCTTCTGGAAGAGCATTAAGACCTGGCTCTGTCAACTAGCATGGGGACCCAATGGGAGTTTGCAGTACTGGGGGTGGTTGGTGGCTTGAGGACGCTCTCTCTGTCTTTTAGCTTTGTATATTTTTGTAAAGATTTTTATTCTTTTTTACTTGTAAGCCGCCTATGGTCATTTATATAGTGAGATGGGCAGCGTATAAATTTGATTAGTAAAATAAATAATAAATAATAAAATAATCTGATTTGTGAAATTATTTCTAAGGATAGAAAAGAATAATCATTCACACAATGACAAAGAACTTCCAGACACATGAGGAAGGGGTTGCTATAACAGAGCATCTGTAACAATTGTGACACGTATTGTTTCCTGGAAAACTGAGATGCAGAACTTAAGGTTAGGCCTATCACTCTCAATATATATCTTTTCATACAGTCATTAAGTTTAAAGCTTATTAAACAAGAGTGACTTCTACTTAAAATTAATTTTATCTATTACTCAATACTCTGAATACTCAGAGCCTGTTTTAAAATGAGATTGAGAATATTATCATGATGTAATCAGTGCAGACCAAGTTTATTTATAAAATAAACTTGTATTTGACTTAGTAAAAGATGATCCTTTAGAGGTACTTTTTTGGGCCAGTGTTTCCATGTACAGGATAAAATACTCTCCAAGGATTTTTATAGGAAGCAGCAGTGATCTACCATGCAGAAAAATCCACATAATTATGCTGTTTCCATTAGATAGGAAAGATTCATGTTTTAAATTTTTTCTTTTGGATGTTTAGGAGACTTGTGGACATCCATATTTGTGGCATTTTATTCATGAATTCTGGGTCCCACTAATATAAATTTTATATTTTCTCTCATATTGTAGTACCAGCATGGTGTAATGGTTAGTCTGGACTGTGGCAATGCGAGTTCAGATCTCTACTTGGCTATGAAGTGCCCTGGGTGATTGAGTATATCCTCATATCCCTCTTTTATATAGTTGCTGTAAACATAAAATAGGGAGTTATTAAAGGTCCAATAACTTCTAGTGCATAGTAAAAAACATAACGCAATGATGATGATAAATAAATAAATACGTTGCCCCACTCCTAGTGACTCTAGACAGTTTATAAATTTTTAAAACATTAAAAACAAGAAAAACAAAAAGAGACAAAAAGAAGGGTACAGATGGCAGGATGGCAAAACTGGTTGGGAACAAAGGAAAACAACCCATACAGTCTAAATGAGGCATCAGTCATCCTCACCAAAGGCCTGGGCAAAGAGCCAGGTCTTCAAGGCCCATCAAGACACCAGCAGGGTAGGGACGGTTGGATCTTGGGGGGAACCCGAGATTGTTAAAAGTGAAAGGAAGGAATATAAGGTTGGTTTATTTCTTCAAGGTTAAAATAGATATGTTGTAACCCTTAATGGACTTTGGCTGATAGGACTGAAATGATGAGGTTTTTAAGGATTTGTTTATAGATAAGAGATGGGATATGGGAAG